CCCAGAAAATCGCTGTGGTTCAGGTGTGATATCACCCATGTTCCACAGTTTGTAAATGAGGCAGAGGAAAGGGTGTGGGGTTGTGAAACATGCTAAGCAGCCAACGTACTATTGTGTATACAGCACTGTTTTTTTTTTTTTTTTTCTAGGAGCTCAGTGATTTTGAATGGTATCCTAAAGTTTAACAGGAGCTCAGTGACAAATGCTCCTCAACATGAAGAGGACATTTAAAAAAACTGAAACAAGCTATTAGTGTTTGTACATTGCTTCTGCACTAGATTATTAAAACTAAAAAAAAAATACAAGTTGTACAAAAGTAAATTAGGAGCATTGTTTCCTGAAACTCAGGCAAATCATTATGATTAATTAAAATATTTAGTAAATTGGTCAAGATTGTAATGATGCCCATTATTATGTAGGTAGTATAATTGAGAAAAAATGTATTGCTGCATAAATTTGTTTTATTAATTGTAAAATTGTTATATTCTTTGATAAATGTCACATCATTGGTCCTTCTCGATCATGTAAATCTGAATGTTGGAGGTTTTTAGTATGACTTCAGACCGTTTCCTTTGTGGAGGATGTTGGGCGTTCCTGGCTTTCACATACCGTACTTTAATATCAGTGGTACAATTCTGCATTAGTGTTGTACTTGTCAGATACTTTGTGGTCTATCAAGGAGTTTCATGGTTTTGTTAGTCTCCTTAGGGATTGCATCATACCGTAAGCAGTTTCCACTAACAGCTTTTCATCCGTGTGCTAAGACACTGTTATGTGCGATATCTCCTCTGTGCAGCAGCTGAGCCCGCTTCGTGCAGCCAGTCTAACTCATTATTCTTTTGAAGGGTATCAAAAATGAATTTGTGTCCTAGGCGGCCAACTATTATTAACACATTGATTGATGCCTTTGCTATGTTTAGGCATTGGAGAGTAACTGGGGATGTCATGCAAACAGACTAATAGGATATGCTTAGGAAAACCTATATGGTCTACACACACACAGCTGTGTCTTTTACAAGGAGCTATAAGTTTTAGGACCATAATCATCTCTTAGTTCAGCTCCATCAAATTTACAGCCACTGTGAGTCAAGAGCTATCATTGTCTGGTCCGCCACTTAACATGATTATACACCCTCTGCTCACTGACGGCGATGTCTGAAAAGATACCGAAAGGTCACCTAAGATGGAGATACGAAAGTAAACAAGGACCATCAGCTGCATCCTGCTGCCTCTCAGCATGTTGATTAAGAAGTAATGAGCTCACTGACTGTGTCCAGTGGGTAGAGTTACAGTGTTCGTCATGGCTACTG